GCAGAAGGTACTACCATAATGGATGTATGTTAAGTGCATAGTGCAAATGGTGCGTTGTCTTTAAGGAGCCAAGATAGTTTAATGGAGAAAATCCAGTGCCATTTTTAATCTCCAGTTCACGTAAAGAAGACACTAGATGGTGCTGTAAACTAAGAAGTGAGTTATTCACGAAGGTGCTAAGGTGGGTCCGGGAGCTGATCTTACTCTGCCGCCACTCCCCTCCCCTCCTTGCCTTTTCCTGGTCAGCACACCTCACTTGGCTTGTGGGAGATATTTGCTAATCTTGGTTTTTGAACCAAATGAGAATTTGTCTCACCAAATTTATATCTATTTACAAACAAAGCCAGCCTGAGTTTGCTAATGACAGTGAAGCAAGAAGAGATGTGAGTTTGAAATCAGATGACCTCAAATATTTGGAGCAAAGTCCATGCCCATTTTGGGACTGGGCTATTTAGAGAAGGAAAATAGCTATTAAGAGCTAGATTGGCAGCCATATTTGTTCGGTAAACACATTCTTACCAGTCCATCTGAGGTGAAATTTTATATATGAAGTCATTTTCCTCTTCTCTCCTAGTATTCTTTCTAGAAGGGTTCCCTTGTGGAAAATTCTTTTCTTCATGTTAACTTTGTGTAGACAATTTGACCCTTCATTTCCAGAAGCATAAGTTTGTCTCAGTTTCCCACTCCTGTTCCCTGACAGAAAGCCTTTCACAAGTGGGTGGCTATAGATTCACTCAGACTTGTGGAGTAAGAAGAGAATCTAGCAGTTGTCCACTTAGAAGAGATACACAGGGTCCTCTTTGAGAAGAACTTGTAGACAGAATATAAATTTAGAGAATGCTTGCAAAAACTGAGTGTGAGGCTGGTGAGATGGGTCAGTGGGTAAAGAAAGATGCTTAATGCCAAGACTGACAACCTGAGTTCAATCCCTAAAGGAGATCACCATAGGCAGAAGAAGAGAACCCACTCTTGTGAGTTGTTCTCTGATCTCTACACAAGCACTGTGGTGTGCGTATGCCCCTCCTCCCGCTAAATAAATAAGTGTAATTATTTTTTTAAAGGACTAAATGTGATTTTAGTATATTATAGTCTAGTGCTAAAAACCAAACCAAACCAAAACAAAACAAAACAAAAACAGTATAAGCCAGGTCTGGTGGCACATACCTTTAACCTCAACACTTGAGAGGCAGAGGCAGGCAGATCTCTGGATGCCAGCCAGGTCTGCATAGCTAATTCCAAGCCAGCCGGATTACATATTGAAACCCTGTTTCAAAAAACAGGAAACTGTGTAAAATATGAAGTATCTTCTCTAGAATCAACTGTTTTAAACTAGTTTAGAAGACTGAATTTTTGATCCACATTAGAATTTAAAGAAGTTCAAATAAAGTTTTTTCATGGTGGGTTTTTTATAAAATCTAAACAAGGATAAAAATGCTAATTGTCCTCATAGGACATTGATTCTAGGGAAGACATTTCAGAACTTCAAGGACTTCTATTTTTGCCTTGGTGGCTATGGTGGTATGAAGATTTAAAGCAGCTGGGTATGATGGCTATATTCAACTGGTGAAGATTGGGACCTATTAAGTGAATGTTGCCAGATTAGCCTGGTGCCCTTTAAAGGAAACCCAGTTATGTATATTCAAATAAAAAGAAGAGGAAGAAGTTGCCCACCTCGGAGGACACGTGTTATCTTTCTATTCTAGCATCTACTTGCCTTATATTTATTTTCAGTAATATCGGAATTGCTTTGTCTTTGACCTAACTGCAGAGAGCTGACCCACGGAATTTACCTGTTGACCAAGAAAAATAGAAGCAGAAGGACAAGAGACACCAGGGGCTGCCACCAGGGGTCGGCACAGCCAAAGGCTATAGCACACTCAGGGAAAAATAGCTGCAAATGAAAATCGACTATAGTGAACCAGACTATTTGATTTTCTCAGAAACTGAGAGAGCTATCAGAGCCGGAACCGCATTGCCATTGAGAGTGGTAGAAATGCCACTCTGTGCTCTCTAAACCCTTAGGAGGCAGCCCTGCATGAAGTTTAGGTGAATTCACATGGTGCTCCCTCAGCCAGTGTGAACTGGCCTGGACTGGTTAAATAGTGAGCTTTGTGTTTCATCCAGTATTGATTCTTAAATGGTCCACTGAGCTGTTAATATGCTAAGTTTTGAGTGGCAGCATGTGTACCTAATTGTTTCAAGAGCTTAGATTAAGCCACTGTTAGCATGTCAACTAAATGAGTAGAGATGTGCTAGATGTGTGGTATTCAGACTGCATATATTCTAGAACTTTCCTGAAGTCCTGAACTCTAGTGTAGTCTTCTCCTTAGTAGTCCTCTGGTCTGGACAGCCATTTCTTTTCCTACGTTGGCTAAGTGCTGCTTCAACAGTATGCGGATGGGAATTTTCCTAAGGGGCATGTCTCCCAGAGGACAACAGGACCAGAAGATGTGCCCACAGTGCCCCTGCCAGTGTCCTGGTTCCATGTTAGTCAGCCAGCCCTCAACTGAGCAAGAGCTCTGCCTGTGGCCCTCAACATCCTCCTTTGTGTCAGCTTGCTGATTTTGTGGTTATTAACTACTAATTCAGCACTTTTGTCCATTTAATATCTGGCTATAGGATTGATAGCTGATCACCCAGAACCTGATTTATGCCAATGTCATCTTCCTTTGCCTTCCTTCCTCCCACACAGACCCTAGATATTCACTGGCAGTCTAAATTTTTGTGCCACCCTTAGCACCTGTTTCTCTCTTAGGCCCGCGCAGCCCGTCGGCTTCCTGTCAATGCTGTCTCTTGCACATGTCCTCTGTTCTCATTCCAGCAGTGACTACACCAGTCAGACAGCAAGGGCTCATTGCTGCTATTTTGAGCAGCCTGCTGTCTCTCCTGATGACCTTGAACATGAGCTGCCTACCCATACCATGTGTTACTTCCCTATCTAGCTCCATTAGAACCCCTCTTCTAGCACCAAGCTAGGGGGAATCTAGATTCTGCTGTTTCCAAGCTCAAACCTTCCCTCAGTTGTGCCCTGTCCCCTCCCCCCTCCCCCTACCTAGGAGATACTGCTCCTTCCCACCCTTGACCATCCTGGTGGCTTCTCTGGTAGGTTTGGATATCTTTTGTTTTCACACACTTTAGCCTTGAGAAATAAAAGCCAAAGAAAGGCCACCTAAGACGTTGTTTGTGGTGTTGGGGAACTAAATCTAGGTCCACAAGATGCTAGGCAGGCACTCTACCACAGAACCTCTTGCCCAGTGTGCCACCTGAGGCTCTGTAGGGAGCAGATGGAGCAGGGCTGCCATGTTGTATAAAGGTCCTTCAGTCCATTTGTTGCTCACATGCCTGGTCAGATCAACATCTAAACTTATTTTAAAATCTGAGGTGCTGAATGCTGCTTGTGTATTCTGGGACGAGCAAATGGCTTCATTCCTCAGGCCTGTGTCGTCAGCTGGTAGACCAGTTGCTTATGCCATGTTGTTGTATAAAGAACAGATGAGATGGATCTGTTCACTCTGTGTCAGGCTGTTACAAAGCAGATCATACCTGACTTCATCCTCACAGTCCCTGAGGGTAGATACTGTTACAAACTCGCGTTAGATTTGAAGAGACTGAGAAAAAAAGGCCAAGTCCATTGCCTCAGGCCTGGAGCCTGTAGGGGCAGGCTGGCCTGGTGAGGAGATTCACAAATGCCTTTTCTCTGTGTTCCTTCCTGCCATGTAGGAGCCATGGCGTCTATTGGACTACAGACCTTTTTCACTGTGACCTGGAGATACTGTGTGGGCATGGGGGTCAATTCAAGCCATATTTCATGTCTTACAAAGTGCTGTGATAGAGTCAGCCTAGGTCATTGTTTGTCTGTCTGCTAATAAGAGACAACTCTAAAAATTCAGGTGGAAAAAAGGAGCCAGTGTTGCTAAGACTGTTCTGAGTTATAGAAAGTGACTAATAGGAGCACATTCCAAACAGAATTACGGGAATGTAGAGTGCTTTGTGGTAGATCATCCCTGGATCTAGGGATGGAGCCAGGCCTCAGAAAGGCAAGCAGAGCTACTGTGCTTGTGCATCCTCCTCCCTGTTTGCTTCCTCATCCCTAGAATCCCCCATCTCTGTATATACCAAGTTATACCCCAGGTCTCTGTATTAGTCAGAGTTTTCTAGAGGAACAGAAACAGGATTTATAGAGAGGCATGTAATTTAGAATTGGCTTGTAAGACTGTGGAGGCTGGTGGGTCTCAATTCTATAAGGCAGGCCAGCAGGTAGACTAGCTGTGAAAGAATCACAGAATATCATATCTGGTGACAGAATCCTATCTTACTAACAGAGGTCCATTTTCTGTTCAGACCTTTTCCTTTACCATGGTGGCCCCTCCCACCATGGGAGGGGCCATCTGCTTACTCAAAGTGAACTGATTTAAATATTAACATCCTTTGAGTAATACCTCTAGCACAATACTTCATCTGAACGTTTAACTGGGAACTGTACCCCCTCTTTCTATGCATGTCCTGCTGCTCCCTCAGACTCACCCTTAGTACCATTCTCTCTGCGTTTATGCATGCCTTCTATGAAACTGACCTCCATAAACTCAGCTACTTGAGAGCTAAGGGTGGGCTTGCAAGTCTGTAGGCTTGGGTTTTAGAGTAACCACCCTTCCAGTCATCATCTCATGGGCCTTACCACCCAAGGTCACACTGGGCCCCAGCTGGTGATGATCTGGGGATGATCTGTCACTATCTGCAGCATAAGCTGAGCGGAACCTCAGAGCATCTCCCATAGAGATGAGGCAAGTGTGGCATGGCTTCAGGGATATTGGGAGTTGTTTTTAGTCACTTAATTCCTTGAAGACATTTATTTATTCTCTTTTGAATTATGTTCCTCTGTTCCTTATACAGCATTTTGAAAGTAGTATTAATGTAGGGGCCTGATCACCCAAAAGTGAACACTTGGGTGGGACCCTCACCACCACTAACATTTCTTTCTTCTCTTGCCTTTCTATGTGCAGAGGATGACGTGGACCTAGAAGGGCTGGTGAATAACATGAACTCATCCCTGGAGAGCCTTAATTCGGCCTGCAACATGCAGTCAGACACGGTGCCCCTTCTTCAGAATGGCCAGCACACCGCCAGCAGCCAGCCAGCAGCCTCCAGTGCCCGGCCCCAGCCGCCACAGGCATCCCCAAGGCAGAAAGTGCAGCGCTCTCAGCCTGTGCACATCCTTGCTGTCAGGTGGGCCCAGAACCAGAGCAGCATAGACACTGCCCTCTGCTCTCCAAGTGGTGATGGGCAGTGACTGCCTAAGTTAGATAAGTTCCTCTTAATATCAAATGCAGTGGTTTTCCAGTAACCTTGGGGAAGATTGCCCACAGCCCCCTGTGGGTGCCTGAAACCAAACAGTCCTAAGCTCTCTCTATACTGAGGTTTTCCCTAGACATGCATACCTGTGGTGAATATTGCCTTATAAATTAGATACAATAAGAGATATACAGCAATAAAAGTAAAACAATAGTTATAACACTAGTGGAAATCATGTGAGTAGATCTCACTCTTCCTGTGTGATGCATGACATGACACTGTGATGAGACAGAAGGAAGTGAGTAGCACAGATATTGTGATGCATTGGGCTATTGTTGACTATGGAGGGTGGGGGGTACCCAACAGAAATGTCAAGCCATGCCTGTGCCTGCTGACACAAAGAACTGAAGTGCCATTCACAGGGTCCATGGGTACGCCATCCAACACTGCAGCATTTGGGGTAAGCCTAATAGCGGGCTAAGCATCTGTACATTTACTGAGCACCTGCTACACACCAGACACCATGCTAGTTGGGTAAATCTACAGAAAACCATCAAATGAAAAAAGCTCAGGGAAGAATTAAGGAGTAACCATGCTTCTAGTTTATGCTTTCCAAAGTAGGGTCTGCAGATCAGCAGCAGTGCCAACTTATGGGATGTGGTTAGAAATACACAGCTCCACATTATGATTCTGTTTTGGCCTAATCCTCCCTGGAAGATTGAACAGGGAAGCATCTGTGCTGGTGAGAAGAGTCTATCAGGGATGTTGAGGGGGTTTCCTGGGAGGTGGCAGATCCCCAAACTGAATCCAAGCTAATAAGAAAATGGGAGGTTGGTGAGTGGAAGTGATGCCATTGGAGGTGAGGGCTGAGTTGAAGGCTTTTATGCCCTTCCCAGCAGCAGGGAGGCAGGGTTGGGGACACGCAAGAGAGGAGGGTGTATATCAGTTTAGGTGACATAATTTTTGATTTGGAGGTTAGGGGTCAGGAAAGAGGGCCATATGGCTCCAGAGTATGTACTAATTAATGTGAGGTCTGTCTGGAGCCCAAGGACCTGCAGGTGATTGGGTCCTGAGGTGGAAAAGGGTGCAGTTAGTTGAGGGTGCTGCTGAACACATTCAGGCTTGTGATTCTGAAAAGGAGCTCAGGAACAGAAGAAAATGTGAGTGTGACTATTTTTGTCTTGAGTACAGGCAAGGAGGGTAGCTAGAAAGTTCAGCAGATGGTTGTGTTAAGGGGAAGATGTTGAGAACAGAGTAGACTCCCTTGGTTTGTGAAACCAAGCCAAGGAGGGGCAGCTCTTGGGGAGCCCTGCATGGCCTGGCTCAGATTCTGTGGGCTTCCGTGAATCTCAGGCATGCATGGCTTAGTGAGAACATCCAGAGCATGCCTGCCCCCACCTCTGTGCGTTGACAGGTGTGTGTGCCTGGACTGTGTTTGGGCCTGCTGCCTAGCCTCTGTCCTGTTGGAGTTTTGGTGGCTGCACTTTCTCAGCACCACATGTTCTGGGGTGTTTCTCCCCTCCTTGCTTCCAGAAACTTCTAAAAGGGCTCTTTCTGGCCTGACTTACTGGGTTTTCTGCAGCTTTCATAACCATTTTTCCCTAGGTGGCTCCTCTATCCTGGGAGGTGACAAGGGGAGGACTGCTTTCTGTTATGTTCATAGATGGTGAACCAACCCTTTCCTGACTATTTATGTATTATGTATTATTTCCCTCACTAGTTCCGGGGTCTATAAGGGAGACTCGTTTCTTGGTGAGTTTTCCAAGGCCAAGGGTCTGCTCATCCACAGCTGCCTTGAGGTACCCAGCAAGAGGGAGCCTTCCTGAGCAAACTAGGGGAGAAAGGGCCCAAGGGCAATGCAGAAGCAGAAGGGTATTGCCAGAGAGCCCAGCTCCTGATGATAGTGCCTATGCTGCCTCTGACATTTCAGCTTCAGGTTCTGGCTGAACTTGTCCTTTGTGATACTGGCTGCCTGTGCCTCATTCCCTGAGATAGACTTGGGTAGAGAAACCAAAGCTCATAGCAGAGGTGGAGGCCTGGCCTGAAGGGGGTGGGGTTCTCTCTAGCCTAAATAAGAAAGTCCTCAAGTCATGCTGGGGTGCTGGGTGTGCGCTACAGAGCAGCTCCTGATGGCTCCAACAGGCTGGGTATAGCCAGCTCTACCTCCCAGGCCCTGACCATCCCTGACATACATATATCTCAGCACCGTCCCCCCCCCCAAATATCTTCCTTTTGTGGTTTCCTATTGGGAAACATATGTAGTGTGCTTTCATCTTGGTGTAATGTTCCTTAGTTGTGCTGGGAAGTAGCTATGAAATGCTAGAGCATTTAAAAAAAATTAAGTTAAAAATTGAAATAATTTAGAAATTCTGGAATATCTTAATGAAGAGGGAAACTCTTCTGAGCTGCTAGGATATCAGAATATTCCTTCTTTATTCTGTAGATCAAAGATGAAAATCATTCTGTGGAGTTAAGTCACTGGGGATGCATCAGCAGGAGAACACTGGAAGTGGTGTGCTGGCCACGGCCTTCCCACCTTGTTCTTTGTCCCAGTGCTTAGACCCTGATGTGGCTGCCCTGCTGAGGCTAAAGCCGTTACTGGAGGAGCAGGATTTGTTCTCAATAAAAATAAGCTTTCTGCCACCTCATCAAGCCGTTGTAGGAATGGCTTTCCTATGTTTCATAACACTGATTCCTTTCTTGCCCTGGGAGATCTGGTGCCTTAAAATAAGCACGTCATTTCCTGGTCCACACAGAATGGCTAGACAGATCCTCCTTTGAAGTCAGAGACAAGTTGGTAAAGAAAGTGGGCACAGGGTAAATTTTCTAATGGCAAGTCTCCCAGGAAGGCTAATGGATTATTGATCTTACCAAACTGTAAAATGTACTCAAAAAGTTATTTGAAGGCAATGTACACAAAGGTGATTCTGAGGAGTGCTTACATAAGAGGTGGACCAGGAAGGCTGAGCAGACAGTAGACCAGTCTCTGCCTCTCCTGAAAGAGAGTCTACACACTGCTGATGCCCCCTCTCCCGGGGGGTGGGTGGAGGATGGGTGGCTAGAGCAAAAGGTGTCTTACCAGGAAACCCCAGGAGATGTGGTCAAAAAATTGCTGGCAGGACTCTAAAGAAAAAAAGCACTGGGCAGTCTGCATCATTTTGGCTTTGAATTTTAACTTGATTTCTCTGCCATTTTCAAAGTTACATCAGATTCATCATCTGTTGCCTACTGGTATGACAAGTGAGCTTTTCAGGAAGAGGTGGCCCTGGAAAAGTGCCAAGGAGTGCAGAGCAGGGTGTTGAATCAGCTGGGGACTTCAGGAAGATGGGTACATGAAGCTTTTATTCCAACCAGTTCAGTATCAGTCACCTTTCTTTGTAAATAGATGCACTCCACAGTTCAGATAAGAGTGCATGAAGCCTCCTCCAGGATTTTCCTCAGATAGATAGGTGTTCATTTCAAGAATGTTGAGGAGTCCCCGTTCTCATGCAGTTAGTCACAAAACCTGTTCACATACTGGGGGCATAGTGAACAGATGCCAGCAGCATTTTGTGTGCAGTACACGTACACGGTTGAGGTACAAGTGCACACAGACTTACAAAGACACAACTTCCTATCCTACAGGGCACCCAGAGAGGGAGCAGATTCTCTTTGACTCTAATGATGCCAACCTTTAAATTTTGTTTCTTTTTTTGGTTAAGGTGAAATACACTTAACATTTATCACATTAGCTACTTTTAAGCATTACTGAACACTCGGGATTGATAACCAGTCTCCCTATAACAGAAACTCTGGACCCACTAAATAGCACCTCCTCTGCCCTCATCTCTCTTCTCAGCCCCTGGCAGCCACAATTCTATTTCTGAGTTCAGTTGTTTTATATTGCCGTTCCCAAGACTCTTCCAGTATGTTTCCTTCTGGTAGTGGATTATTTCTCGTACATATTGGCTCAAGATTCTCTTACACTACAGCGTGTGTCAGAATTTCCTTCCTTTATTTTTTGGATAACTCTTTTTAGCTGTGTAGTATTCTATTATAGAGACACACCACATTTTCCTGTTCTGTCCATCCATGGATGAACACTTGGGTGACTTCCCTCTTTGGGCTATTGTGAAATTATGCTATTATGAACACATGCACTGATATCTACTGTTGTCTGGTCTCTGGGGTAACAGACCTAGCAGTAGTAATGCTGTGACATGGGATGGCAGGTTCTAACCAGCTTTTGACGCCTTCCTTCCTTGCAGGCGCCTTCAGGAAGAAGATCAGCAGTTCCGGACCTCATCTCTGCCGGCCATCCCCAATCCGTTCCCTGAGCTCTGTGGCCCCGGGAGCCCCCCTGTGGTTGCTCCTAGCTCCTTACCTCCGAACCAGCCGATTGTGAAGCAGGTGAGTAGCCCCCACTGCACCAAGGTGGCCATTACTTTAGGGACAAATGGGGAAGTCCTGAGATCGCTCTTTGGGTTTTCTTGTTGCTGTTGTACTTTTGTCTTACAAGACATTTTAATTTATTGGTCAAAAGTACACTTAATAAGTTAGGGATGCATTAGTGGAGTTTTTAAAAATTACATTTGCTTATTGTGTGTAGGGGTGGGGGCCCATGTACCACGTTGCATGTGCAGAGTCAGAGGACAAATTTGGGGAGTCAAATCTCTCCTTCCACTATATGGGTCCTGAGGATCGAACTCAGGTCTTTGGGCTTTGCAGCCAAGAACGTGCATCCTCTTGCTGGCCCAAGGAATGAATATATATATATATATATATATATATATATCTTTATATTTATATTTAATATTATTTATTTTTATTTTATGTGTTTGCCTGCATTTATGTAAGTGCACCCATGTGGATGCAGTGCCCACAGAAGCCAGAAGAAGGTGCCAAATTCCCTGGAACTAGAGTTACGGATGGTTGTGAGCTGCCATATTGGGTGCTAGGAACCAAACTTAGGTCCTCTGTGAGAGCAGCCAGCACTCTTAACCACTGAGCCACCTCTGTAGCCCCTATCCAAAAATTTAAACAGTTTTAACGGGTATGGTGGTACATGTCTTTAATCCCAGCACTTGGGAGGCAGAGGCAGGCAGATATCTATGAGTTCAAAGCCGGTCTGGTCTACATAGTGAGTTTCAGGCCAGCTGGGACTACAGGGAGACCCTGTCTCAAAGAAGACAAACAACCTTTTTTTAACTGGTTTTAAAATAAGTTGATGATTTGATGGTTGGAGAGGAATTTGTGCTCTTTTAAAGAAATTGTGCTGCTAGGTCATCCTGATCACACAGACCTGGTGTGGTACTGCTTGTGCCCAGGCACCTACTCTTCAGTACAGGATAGTCAAAGAACTCTCATCTTGAGGTCTGGACTTTGAATGTGGCCTGCTCAAGGCAAAAGAATCTCCACTTGACACAGGAGATAACAGCTGCCCTTTTTAAACTTAAGTTTCTCCTTTGAAGTAGGACTGCAAGATAGATATCCAGTTATTGGCCGCGAGTGAAACGACCCAGTGCCAGCCACTCAGCTTATCAGGGATACTAAGCAAAGAAATCTGTTGGCTTCTCTCACCCCTGGGTACTGAGGTGGAAGCAGGAAAGCTGAGGGCTCTGCAGGGCCCCCATCCTGCTGCAGTATGATTTGGGGGTGGCAAATATAATGGAGACAGTGGCAGTGTCTGCATTGTGCTGCTGATGTGTACTAGGCTGTTTTGAGCGGCTTGGGTACTCACTGCTGCACTCATGTATTTCTCAAGCCAGCCCTATGAATTAGGTACAAATGCTGTTTGTTATCATTCTCCTGCAATGAAGGAAACTGAGGCTGGTGTTGGCAGAGAGCTGTGTGTGACCTGGCTTCAGGGTCCTGAGTATTCACAGGCTTCCTGCCAGTTTGACTGTTTTCTTTCAAACAGTGCTGTTGAGAAGGTTCTGTGCTTTCCCACCAGATTTGCTCCTCTTCCTACTTGCCCACCCCTGCTGTTCTCTGACACAGGGAGCCAGCCAGCTCTGTTCTGTGCAGTCCTGTGTCACGTAGCGCAGGCCTCTCAGGCGCTAGGCTTTTGTCTAATATTCACTGGCTTTGGAGCACTGCTCCCCTTGAGCGCCTCTCAGGCCGCCTGCATTATGGCACTGTCAGACTTAGAAGGTGAGGTCAGTGTTCCTTGTCTGGGAGCCAGCGCTGGCCTGGCTTCTGCACACAGTCACATGCTGAAGTGCATCTGGGCTGTCTACCTCCCTGGTGACCTTCTGCCTCCAGTAAGGATCCTGATGAGCGTGTATGGGTTTGTTGCTGAGGTTGTTTACAAGTTTCCCGTCCTGAAGTAGACCACAAAAGTACTATCTGGCCCTGGCCTTGACTGGCAAGAAAACGAGCCTCCTCCCCACGGATTGTCCAAATTTGTAAGAATAAGGAAACCCAGGAATTTTGCCTGCTTATGTTTTTCTTGGGATTGGAGTTGGCGCCTTATGAGAACAGTGCAGTGGCGTGTTTGTTGTCAGATGCCTCAAGCCGACTGGGACCAGCAAGAGCACGGAGGGTGTTTCTTGCTTGTTGTGGAACACCAGTGTTCTTTGTGACTGGTTTTTTGTTTTTTGTTTATTTTTCTTTACTCCTTGACAATTTTATAAATGGTGTATTTTGCTCATATCACCCCCATATTCCCCCCTCATTCTCTAATCATTTCTTCTTTCCAGAAATCCCCATCCTACTTACGTGTCTTTTTATTGTTGTTGTTGCAAAACTTTTATTACATCTATTTACTGGGAGGATGCATATGCATATGGTCATGTGGAAGTCAGAGGACAGCTTACAGGACCCAGTTCTCCTCTTCTACCACGTAGGTCATGCCAGGGATCAAACTCTGGTTCTCAGACTTGGCCATGGGTGCCTTTACCTACTGAACCATCTCACCAGCCCTTTTGTTTTTGTTTTAACCTATTGAGTTTTATTATGGTTGCTTGCATGAGCATGGGTGGGAAGGGGGTGCTATTTACTGCAATATGGGCAGTTTATCAGGGGCTACACCACTGAGGAAAATGATCCTACCTCAGCAACCATTAATTCCTTCAGCTGGAAGTGGGGCCTCCTGTGGCAGGGTTTTTGTTTTACTAGTTTTTTCTTTTACAGTTTCATACATGTATATAATACGTACTGATTACTGTCATTCGCCACTCTCTCTCTCCTACCCCCTATCTACCCCTCCACATCCCTGCACAGCTTTCTCAATTTCTTGTCTTTTTATTTTGTGATCCACTGAGTTTAACCAGGGTGGGTTTGGCACTATCCATTAGAATCTGATGGGCTCACTAGTGGATGCTGCTGTTTTTAAACTGGGGGAGGGGTCCTTATTCATCTTTTCTTCTGTCTTGAACCTTGTGGAAGGATCCTGTGGTTCCTCCTGGAGCTAAGCACCATACCACCTGCTAGACTTTTGAGTACAGGATCCTAGCTGGAGATGCTTTGGGTGAAAGTGCTTGAGTTCCATTTGGGTCCTGTTCTTTGTCACTTGCTTGATGGAAGGAGAAATTGGATATTATTTACCTTTTCATATGAAGTCAGAGTATATAATATTGGAAGTGGGGGCCAGTGAGTGTGAAGCAGGATAAAATATATATATTTTCATAGCTAAAATACAGATTTTTAATATAAAATTTATGCATTATTTTCAGTGTAGCCTGCCTGAGGAACAGTCTCTCAGGGCAAAAAGTAGGAAAAGAAAAATGTACTAAGGTCTTGGGATGCTACCTGGGGACAAGGAAATATTCAGAAGCCTACCTGTCACATCCTTGAGTTCCCATGTAAGAAGGTTCATGATGGACAAGGGGCAAGAAAGAAAAGGAGAGGTGTTAAACAACCACGGGAAAATAAAAATTATTCTTGCCATGGGCTTTATAGCAAAGCATTCTGAAGTCCTGCTTAGATAAGTCAGTACTTCCAGTTCCCTTGGGTTTCTCTTCTGAGGGGTTTCAGTGGCTGCTTAATGGAGCAAGAGTGGTCACTGGACCCTGACTCTGGAGAGGAAATGGAGTGGTATGGACCTGGTGCTCATCACACACCACTTCCCCAGCGCCAACTCCCAGGAGGACGAGGATGTGAGCCGTGGGCTGTGGCACGTGGGTGGACACGGCCCCTGTGGCACAGCCCTTTGAGCCAGCTGAAACATCAAAGACCTTGAGCACCATAAAGTGCTGGCACAAGCTGCCTTCTGCTCATGCAGCCTTGTGGGTGGGTTGCTGTCAGGCTGGGTTCCCCTGCAGTGCCAGCCTGGCTCCTTCACAGAGTTGCAAGATACCACATGGGAGCTCAGCAGCCTACAGATGCAGGAGGTTACAGGACTCAGGGAAATGAGAGAGAGGGAAAACTTAAGGGAACAGAGAAGGGCCCCAGCCCCGCCACCGCCAATGGCCATCTCTCTCCAACTTGCCTGATTTGGCTATCATCCCAAAACCCCTACCCTGGGCCAGCTCTTTGGCAGATCCTGCAGCTAGAAAGCTGGCCACTGTGTGTGCTCAGCATGTCACGACAGAGCAGGAAGCTATGCAAGGTGAAGGCAGAAGGGAGCAGGCAATGGCTAAGAGATAATGGTAAGATGTAGAAAGAAGGTGTCATTCCACCTGGAAGAGAGGTCTTATGCAGCAGCCTGCATCCACTTGGGGAACTGTGGAGGGCACAAACAGCCCCCAGCTTGGGGCCATGCTGGGGCTAAGTTCTTGGTAGAGATGCAGTCCTTTGTGGGTCCTTGACCTCACTTAGGTCATCCTCATGGTTGGCAGTTATAGCTGAGCTTTCTGAGTACCTCTGATTCTCTGGTTTGGGGACACTGAAAATGGCTACTATTGACAGCTTCCAATTAGAGATTACAGTGTTGAGACCAAACCAGCTAATTGCCCCCTTATTCCTTTGCCACCTGGGACTTCAAGGCCTCTGACCTCCCAGGTTCTGTTCCTTTTCTGCCCAGGGGCTGTGATGACAGCACAGTCTGGTCTGATTATAGCTCATTACAGTCTCTGCACTGCCACTGTCCCGAGTACAGCTTGTCCAGAGTGCTGTGGACTTGGCAGCCTGGCAAGAAAGTCCCTTGTTGGAAGGGGCACTGCCAGGTCCAGTGACAGGATTCGTGGTGTTCACACAGGCCTCTCAGGACCAGAGAAGATTTAGGGCTTCCTGCCTTAGACTCCAGCTTCTTGGATTTCTCTTTTGTTTTACTGTGCTCTATGAAGGTTCAAGCAAAGCAGTTTAGTTTGCTTAATAGTATTTATACTCCAGTGGTGGATTCATGTAAGGTTATATTCTGGAGTCATCACTGAAGGCCTGCTTATTCATAGAAGGTAAAAGAAAGTAGATCCTTAGATCACCACATGTATAGTCCCCATACCACAAATCTGCAGGTGCTAAGGTGGTAC